TCCCTCTCTGCTTCTTTATCCTTTGTGTATAGAAGGTCTATTGATTCTTTTTATTTATTTATTTATTTATTTATTTATTTATTTATTTATTTATTTATTGGTTTTTCGAGACAGGGTTTCTCTGTGGCTTTGGAGTCTGTCCTGGAACTAGCTCTGTAGACCTTGTATTGTTCCTGATTTTAGTGGAATGATTTTGAGTTTCTCTCCTTTTAATTTGATGTTAGCTCTCAGATTGCTGTATATTGCTTTTATTATATTTAGATATGATACTTGTATCCCTAATCTCTCCAAGACCTTTATCATAAAGGGGTGCTGAATTTTGTCAAATGCTTTTTCAGCATGGAATGATATGATGATATGGTTTTTTTCTTTCAGTTTATTTATATGATGGATTACATCAATAGATTTGCATATTTTGAAGCAGCCCTGCATCTCTGGGATGAAGCCTATTTGATCATGATGTATGATTTTTTTGATTTGTTCTTGGATTCAGTTTGCCAGTATTTTATTTAGAATTTTTGTGTCAATGTTCATGAGTGAGATTGGTCTGTAATTCTCTTTCTTGGTTGAGTCTTTGTGTGGTTTTGGTATCGGGGTGACTGTAGCTACATAAAAAGAGTTTGGCAATGACTCTTCTGTTTCTATTTTGTAGAACACATAGGTCTTCTTGGAAGTTTTGGTAGGATTCTGCATTCAAACCATCTGGTCCTAGGCTTTTTTTTGGGGGGGGGAGAGGTTTTTGATGACAGCTTATATTTCCTTGTGACTTATACGTCTATTTAAATTGTTCACCTGGTCTTGATTTAAGTTTAGTATATGGTACTTATCTAAAAAATGTCAATTTCTCTTACATTTTCCAATTTTGTGGCATACAGCCTTTTGTAATAAGACCTAATGATTCTCTGTATTTCCTCAGTGTCCGTTGTTATGTCCCCCTTTTCAATTCTGATTTTGTTAATTTGAGTGTTCTCTCTCCACCTTTTGATTAGTGTGTATAAGGGTTTGTCAATCTTGCTCATTTTCTCAAACAACCAGCTCTTTGTTTCATTGATTCTTTGGATTGTTTTCTGTGTTTCTAGTTTGTTGATATCAGCCCTAAGTTTGATTATTTCCGGTCTTTTACTCCTCCTGTGTGAGTCTGCTTTTTTTCTAGAGCTTTTAGGTGTGCTATTAAGTTTCTAATGTGAGCTTTCTCCATTTTCTTTATGTGGGCACTTAGTGCTGTGAACTTTCCTCTTAGCAATGCTTTCACAGTGTTCCACAGGTTATAGCATGTTGTGTCTTTATTTTCATTGAATTCAAGGAATTCAATTTAATTTAATTTCATTCTTTATTTCTTCCTTGACTAAAAGGTGGTTCAGTAGTTGACTATTCAGTTTCCATGAGTTTGTAGGCTTTCTGGGGATGGAATTGTCATTAAATTCTAACTTTCCTCCATGGTAATCCAATAAGACACAGGTAGTTACTCCAATGTTTTTGTATCTGTGAATGTTTGCTTTATTACCGAGTATGTGATCAATTTTCGAGAAGGTTCCATGAGATGCGGAGAAGGTATATTCTTTTCTGTTTGGGTGGAATGTTCTATAGATGTCTGTTAAGTCTAATGTCTTCATTACATCTGTTAGTTCTCTTATATCTCTGTTAAGTTTCTGTCTGTTTGACCTGTACATTGGTGAGAGAGGAGTGTTGAAATCTCCTGCTATTACAGTGTGGGTTTTGATGTGTGATTTGAGTTCTAGTAATGTTTCTTTTACATATGTGGGTGCTGTTATATTAGGGGCACAGATATTAAGGATTGAGACTTCATCCTGGTGTATTGCTCCTGTTATGAGTATAAAGGGTCCTTCTCCATTTCTTTTGATTGATTTTAGTTTTTTTTAATTTATTTATTTATTCAGGATTTCTGCCTCCTCCCCACAACCACTTCCCATTTCCCTCCCCCTCCCCCGATCAAGTCCCCCTCCCTCATCTGCTCAAAGAGCAATCAGGGTTCCCTGACCTGTGGGAAGCCCAAGGACCGCCCACCTCTATCTAGGTCTAGATCTAGCCTGATCTGACAGAGGCAGTCAGATCTCTGTGAGTGCAAGGCCAACTTGGTCTATAAGAGCTAGTTCCAGGACAAGCTCCAAAACTACAGAGAAACCCTTTTTCAAAAAACAAGGAAACAAAGAGTCCTAAAACCTAGTACAACAATATACAATGAGAAGAATAAAAACAAAAAAAAAACATGAAAGACAAAACAAACCAGCAAAGTGTTAGAATATAGTGAGGGCATGGGTACTAGAGGGCAGCCCACTACTGCCACTTCCTAGACCAGGACACTTTCCAAGCGCATTCTAAACACTTATCCTTATGTGTATAGATGAGCATAGTACATCTCACCCTTCATCGAAGGGGCTTCGCTTTGCAGCAGAGGGAGGCTATTACAGGAATGCACACTTGGGAAAACAGGGAGAATGATTGTGGGGGCACATCCCCAACAAATACATCAACAACACAACCCCTATGCCAAAGGCTTAGGGAATATTCTGAAACATGGGGAAGAAAGATTGTAAGGTCCAGAGGACCAGGACATCTGCGAAGAAAAAGTGTCTTCTATATGTGCCAGGGAAGCTGAACCCATAAAAATCTTAACACTGTGGTCACCTAAACAAGACCTACACAATGACAACATCAGTTGACATGCCAGCATGGATGGTGGAAATCTCACCGGGCCCTATACCTAAAACGAAATCACATGAGCACACACATGCCAACACTTGCATGTGTGTACATTGCACTTCTGGCTGATGAAAGAGGGGGAGTTGATTGGGGGAGGGGGTGGGATATGGGAGGCGGTGGTGGGGAAGAGACAGAAATAAATAAATTAAATAAATTAAATAAAAAACAATGGCAAAAATGTTGCAGCAGTGAATAATATATCTTCCTTGATAGGATGCATTTTAAATTGTCTCTCTCTGTAATTGTCACTCAGCAGAGTCCAGTAAAGGGGGACGTGAAATTTACAATAGCACAGCAAGTATATGGAACCAGATTAGGGGTATGCATTGCCCCAGTGAAATGTGAGTGTGTGTGTGTGTGTGTGTGTGTGTGTGTGTGTTTGTTCTACATATATCAAACATGAATAACTTCTAATGGTTTAATTTTGATTGTATATAACTTCATAAAATTTTGGGATTCTTTATTTGTTTCATTGACTTAATAGAGACTGAACTCAGAGCCCTCTGATGTCATGTGAACACTACAAAATTGATTTGTCTCTAGATCAAGCTTTTTATTTTCTTGCACTTCCAATATTCTAAACTTATAGCGTATAGCATATGCTGCCATGTTTGTTCAGTCTCCCACAGTTACTGAAGGAAAAGGGGGCAGTATTTTTATTTGGCTAGTAAAACATTTGCATATTGGATATATATAGCAGGTGTTGTTCCCACAGTTCATATTCTATATCCTATATTTAATATATAGGTCACAGAAGGACCCCTGAGATCCTTTCTTCTTTTTCTTTTTCTCTTACTTTTTCTTTTCTGAAGACAGGGTAACTCTCTGTAACAGCCTTGGCTATCCTAAAACTCACTTTGTAGACCAAGTTGGCCTCGAAATCAGAGATCCTCTTGCCTCTGCCTCCTGAGTGCTGAGATTAAAGACATATGCCATCACCACCCAGATCAGGCCTCCAGAGTTTTACAAGTGGTTTTGATGGATGTTTAAATGAAACTAAGGAAAATCTATAATTGTCATGTCACCCAGGGTTTGTAGTTTAGGGTCTTTGTCCTAGTGAATGCCTCTGTCCCCCAGAGACTGTGCTTTGGGATCTTTGCCCTAAAGAAAACTTCTCTCCACACAAAGCTTTGCATTCCCTGCTTATAGAAGCTTTACTTGTAGTAGCTAGCCAAAATATGGAAACCAAAATCCCCAACAAGTGAGTGGAAAAAAGAATTGAAAGCACACGCATATCATGGTATGGTACACAGCAATGAAAAGTAGTAGCAACTGAGAGTGTGTGTGTGTGTGTGTGTGTGTGTGTGTGTGTGTGTGTGTGGTGCTGGAGAATAAAATCTAGGTGCCCACACATGTTGGGCAAGCAGCGTGCTCATAAGCGATATTCCCACAAAATGGAATCTTGATATATGCAATCAAGTGTATAGAATTAAGAGTATGGTGGTGAGTGGAAAAGGCCAGCCCCGACCATTTTTTTATGACATTGCTGAAATGAAATGATAATGGAACTAGCAAACAATGCAATGGCTGTCCCAGTTGAAGCACGCTGCTGGGTGTCATCATAAAAAACCAGCATGAGTGTTGCGGGAGGTCCTCCCACTCCTCCAGCCTATAGCCGCTGAGATACCAGCCCATTGGGGCGTGGTCTCTCTCCCTTTAAAAAAGCAGCCACTTCCCTCTCCTTGCTCTCTTCACTTCCTGCTCCACTGGTGACTAGACTCCCTTCCTGGTTGCATAGAGGGCTGTTGTCTGGGACAGAGATCTGTAAGTTTTTTCCCCTTTAAATAAATACCACCCTATTAATCATAATTCCAAACTGGTGTGGCATTGTTTGTGACTTACGCCTTCACATGAGTAAAATTTTTCTGACAGAAGAGATGAAACCTGAGTGCAGTGATCACTGCATGAATTTACATGCATGATACAGTGACAGAGAGGTATAAACACCCTGTGTATCAGTGCCAGTGCCCTGCTTCCAGTCTATAACATGTATTCAAGTTGTGTAGCATGTATGGTAAACAACTGGGGGACTAATTACATAAAGAATATGTTCTGATTATTTTTAGATAAACAAGAATTATATTTCATCATATTGATAAAATGGATTTGAAACAAAAATTTCATACACACACGCATGCACGAACGCAAACCTCAGTCAGTCCTGGTGATTCTTCTGGGTTCCAAACGATAAAATGGAATGGACACAGTTTTGAAAACAGAAAGACATACACTCTACATCAATGTTCTACCTTTATTGGCAACAACATAAGGAAGGAGGAGTCAAAACCTGTTCAAGTTTTGGAAACAGCATCATTGGGAGTATAGAACTACTGCTGTGTGGTGGCCCTTGCCAAAGAGTATCTCTTCCCAGAATGCCCCAGGGAGGATGTCAAAACTACTAAGAAAAAGGCAGCTATATTTGTGGGATAGACTTGAAACTTGTCATCTGAAAGTATTATTGTCACCAGGCTGGATGCTGATACTCCTACTGACCATGCAACCAAAACCATATCACCCTAGGGATTGGTGATGTTGAAACGCACGATAGTGTAGGTTCTGATCTTCTTCACATGAGGATGACAATGCCAAAGTTATTCTGTCCATTTGGGGAGAACCTTTTGAAACCCCTTTTTGTTTTTCCGCTGAAAATTCAATTTGTTTTCACTTGTCTGCATTGCTTCTGGCAGAACAGGGGGCTGGGTGGAACGAGGGTTGAGTGTCAGGTTATGGAAGTCTTGTATCAGTTTTTCTGAGAAGGGTGAATGAGAGGTTGCTTCTGTCCTGGTCCCCACAGAGACTCCGGACGTAGTCCCCATACAAGCTTGGCAGTAGCGGCATTCACATTTGAACATCTCCTCTTCAGCAACTCTAGGGGAAGATGATTTTCTTTTCTTTTCAGCTTGCTGAGGCAAGGGAGACCCAATACGTTTCTTTTTCTCGATTTTAACTAGTTTTGTTTTCTTCAGGGGTGATCTCGAATTCTCTGACTGCTGCTCTTTGTCCATTCTTTCAGAGAAAAAAAAAGCACATATTAGAAACACAGAGGGCCTGTTTAAAACAGCTCTTTCTGTACACAGTCCTGGAGCACCTACCAGCACTCACAGATCACATCTCAAAAGAGGCCTTGATGGTTTGTTTCAGCAATAGAAACCTTAGGTTCTAACTACTTTGTGCAGTCATTTTTCTTTTGTTTTGTTTATGGGTACCAACCTACCAACAAGCAAACAGTGTGCTCTTTGACTTTGCAACATTGGTTTCAGCCCAGTTTTCCTTGTACTTGTTTATGTGTGCCACAAAAAACCGCAGGGCAGAATTCCTTCACATGGAGCCCACAGATCACTATTTCTTAATGTAAGATGCTGATGCCTCTGGAAGCAATGCTTCACACTTAGCCTCTTCTTTAACATTTCCTATAAGCTCTCAGTCCCTCCACATAAATGTGATTCGAAAGAGTCCTGTCTCAGAGGACATCTTTGAGGTTCCAGGGACTACAAACACACTGGCTCCTAACACTAGCACTTAAGGCCTTAAGAACAGTGATACATTTGCAGTCCCACTTCCTTGGGCAGGAGAACAGAACCGATCAAAGAGACCTCCCCTCACCCAACTCCAAAGGACCCCTCTCTCCATCAGCCATGGCCACATCAACCAGAGAGGATCAATGTGCGAGATTCCTGGGCACAATATGTGCTCTACATAACCTGCAGCTCAGGCCATACTTGGTTATCTCGCATCCCTTGCTGAGACAAGAGAAAACCAGAGAAAAGCAAAATGAACCCTAGGAGAAAACCACTGGACACAGATTGAGGTTGGCCGGCAAGTTCCATGTCTTACAGTTTTTTAGTAGCACAATAGACTTGTGCTCTCCATTCTTTGGAGAGCACAGAATGCCCTGGTTGGCTAGCGATAGAGACATAGGTGGTTTTCACTTCTGGAAAGCCTATCCATGTACCTAATAGCTGCAACATTTCAGTGGACAGAACAGGAAGAGAGGAGTGGGTATAGTTGAGTGAATTCAATGATTGCAGGGGCTGTAAAGGTTTATATAATTATAATTCCTAGCTACGGGTGCATTAATAGGTGCATGCTTGGGATCTAGGCATGAAAATGTTGATGCCCGGCGAAAAGCTGAGAGCATTTTAGCAGAGGAAAATTTGTCTCCTGGCATGATCTCTTACCTCTATGAACTTGTTTGTCAGCTGTATTAAAGGTTATACAGCCTACCATTCCCTGGTATAGTGCCTATGAGTGATCACACAGGGCTTGGGCACTACTGGAGCTTATTAGGAATGACAGCAGCTTCCCTTTGAAACCAAGGAAATAACTAGACTAGTATATGAAGACTTGTGATCAAAGATGCTTATGCTACCCCATCAAAACTCACACGTGCGCACACACACACACTCATAGAGGAAAAAAGAACACAAAGGCCACATACAGAGCTTGGTTGAAGGAGTTAGGAAGGCTTCACACCAGGATATGTAAATCAGTCTGACAATCACAGAGATAGTTATGGTGGTGTCTCAAAACATTTACTATAGGACTTCCACATAGTCTAGCCCTAACTTAACTCATGGACTTAAAGCAATGGAACCAAAAGCACCTTACTACAGAGATGCATGACTATCCATACTACTAACAGAACCCAAATCATGGATTCAGCCTAGGTGCCAGTTCATGGAAAAATTGATAAGGGAAATATGATGCCAGTACAAAAGGTGGTTTCACGTGGCTGCAAAGAAGAACATACTGCAGTGCTTGAGGGAAGACGATGGATCTTATGGAAAACAAGCCAGGTCTGGAAAGACAAAGATCCCTTATGAAAACCACAAGGATCAAAAATAAGCTAAAAGCCTGCTGTAGGAATTCCTACCTCTCGTAGCCTTTAAGTTACCTGCCCACTTAGGTGTGGCCTCTTACACCATATATGCTTATGTAACGTATGTGGTTGCTCTCTTTTCCGGCTGCGGTATTTGTTTGCTGTTCCCTGTTGTATCAGAGGACTGTGATCTGTGAGTCTACCCCTAAATAAATAACCCTCTATTATATTCAATTCTGAGCAAGTGTGGAATTTCTTTTTAGCATCCGTCTTCATCTGGCACCCACATGGATCTGAACTCCACACCTACTGGTTGGACTGGCTTAAAGGCATAAGCTGTCCACAGCCCAGAGTCTCCTACCCCTGTCTGCTTGACTTGCATTTATGTACCAAGCAGTTTTTTTTTTTAACTCCCACCACAGTGGGGCTAAATGCCTGCGGCGATGTGGAAATTTCCCAAGCTAGCACACATCCCCCCCCCCCCCCCCCCCCCCCCCCGCCACTGCTGCATTCCCGGCCACATAGCAATGTGCGCAGCTTCCAGTTTGTGATCCCTGCTCATGATTTCTGGGCTTATTGTTGCTCTTTTATGGAATTGATTTAATTCTGTAACCACAACAATAAGTATTATTACAACTAAAACAATTACCGGGCCTCAAAACAAATAAACATTTTATTAATTACTAAATCAATGAAATTGAAAGTTATATAATGGCAGACAACATTATCATTGAGAATTTTAGTAATTTTTTTGCTAATACTTTGGATTATATTCTGCAAGGCTTGTATGTTTGTTGCGATATATACATTTATTGGATATTGGGGGTCAGGTTTTTTTCTTCATATAATGGTTTTACAAAAGAGCCAAGAATAAGGCACTTTTAAAAATAATACAGTTTTTACAGCCTAATAATGAACAACTAGCTGACAGGATTAATACTATCCAATATAAAAAGTTACTTAAAAAATAATACTATTGAAAAGGGTAACATTAATTTGACAGACAAAATTTAATCCTTGTCAAAGTATACTGAAAAATTATCTGAAAATTCATATTGTTAAATTTAGCGATCAAAATTTGTTAAAAAAGTTATGACCGTTTAGCAGATCAAGTATCTCTCCAGGAAGGCAATCTGCACACTATCCAAATAATGTCTAAGGATGAGATTTTATCTTTAAAGAAAAAACTTTAGACCTTGGAATCACATGTGCAGAATGAGGACCAGGTGCCTCAATGAAATCACTAGAAATATGTACAGGCCAGGAGATTCAGGCATTACAAAAGGCAGAAGTAAAAAGATTTGAAATAATTGAGGAAATTATTGGAGCTGATGAACAGGGAAAGAAGGCACAAGGACAGAATTCAACATCGCCAGTATCTGTCAGAGATGATTGACTCAGGGTTTTAGCTTCCTGCCCTGTAATCTACTCTGACAAAGCATCAAGTTCTAAAGGCCCCAAGGATCCAAAGAAGGTAGATGGATACCTTTAGGAATGAATGATCTAAAAGAAATTAAGCAAAGTGTTGTAACTTATGGCTTGCATTCTTCATCTGCTAAGGAGATGATAAAGTCATGGTCTTCCAGCATTAAAGCAAGGCCACATGACTAGCTTCCGTTAGTTTTAGCAGTCCTGGATGACAGGCCTCAACTAATATAAAAATGTTATTTCAGGGAAGAAGCTAAAATTTTAGAACAACAGGGAAAAGCAAAGAACTTGAGATTTCACCAGATCAAATTCTTGGTGAGGGCACTTATGTTGACCCAGAGGCTCAAGCACTTTATGATGAACAATTCTTGTCCCTATGCCACAAAGCAGCCTTAAATGTTTGGAAAAGTATTCAAGATATCAGAAAACGAATTGAATCATATACTAGTGTTAAACAGGGCTAGAGAGAACCCTTTAGTGACTTTTTACATAGATTAACTAAGGCTGTACAAATAGGAGTAACAGACCCAGATGCTAGACGAGTACATATTGAATCTCTGGCTTTTGAAAATGCCAACTTAGAATGCAAAAAGATACTTGGGCCTTTAGGGTTAAATCAGCACCAATGGATGAATGGATCCTGCATACAATGAACATTGAGACATTTGACTATCATACTGAATCTTCGGAAGGAGAAGCAATTTCCCAAGGTATGAGGAGACATCAAAATGCCAAATGTTTTAACTGTAGTAAAATAGGACATCAGAGAAGGGGCTGTAGAGAAGGAACACCTAGAAATAATGTCTTCTCTGGGAATGGCAAAAGTAGAAGTTAACAACCTCCTAGATTATGCAGAAGGTACGGCAAAGGCTAACATTGGACCACTGAATGCAGATCAACAAAAAACAGACAAGGTAACCCAATACCATTGGGAAACTCCTTGAGGTGCTTCTCTCAGGCCCCAAGTCAAAAGTGGTATAATCATTCCCATTCACTGTGGAGGACATGTCTCACTAGGAAAATTAAAAAATCCAAAGCCTTCTATAGAAAACCATACTGTTCTAGATTAAAGAATAAACATGGAGGATGAATAAAAAATTCCAGTAGGAAATAGAAAACATATATTCTGGCTGACTTCTATAAATGATCAAAGATCAAAGCTAAGAGTGTGTATAAATCGCATTTTAATTTTGGGTTTGATAGACAGGGGTGCAGATGTGGGTATCATTACTCCAGAATCTTGGCATCGAAATTCAAGAGACAGATGTTCAATACCTAGGAATTAGAACCCTATCTCAAGTGAAACAAAGTACGAGATGGGTAAATGAATAGGGTCAGAAGGACAGAGAGGAAGGCTAAGGCTGTATGTGGCTAATAATTTATGGGGTTGTGACCTGCTGCAGCAATGGAATATCCAGATTAACATTCCTGCAGTCCCAGAATCTCATAATTCTGGGCAGGATATTACAAGGTACTATACACAAAGTTCACCAGCCATTTATACAGTATAATAACACAAGGCAACTGGCAAACCTTTAGAGGTACCAACAGCCATACCTTTAAAATGGTTAAACTGAGAAACTAATATGGGTTAAAAGTGGCCATTAACAGAAGACAAACTGCAGGCTTTAAAACAGCTGGTACAGGAGCAACTAGATGCTTACCATATTAAAGAACAACCAGCTCTTAAAATTCTCCTGTATTTCTTGTTAAAAAGAAATCTGGTAAATGGAGAATGGTGACAGATCTAAGAGCTGTC